CAGATATCAATGGCTAACTATTTATAGTAACCTTTTTTGATTTATACATTGGGATCCGTGCATTGTTTTGTAGCAAAAGCTACTTTCGAAGGGCGGTTGGACCAGTGGGCCCTACGTGAATGATGACAAATCTCATAGATCGTGATAGGGGCGTGTAGGCGCCTTGTCACCTGTTTTAGGAGGTGACGACCTCGGTTCATGTTGACCTCGGCTTAGAACGACTTCGGCGGGAGAGGATCACTTCGGTCTTTTAGGGTTGCACCGGTTTATTGTGCGAACCGGGATGACTCTAAATTACATCGATATCCGAGTAAAATTTACTTATAGTGCTGTTTTGGACCCTTAATTACGATTTACCGAGTCGGATGATAACAGAGGTCCATGTTCCTTTTTTTCAATTAAATAATTAAAAATTCACTAAAATGTTCTTAAAATCTTTAAGAAACTAACTTAATAACTGTTAATTTATCAATTTAATAAGCATTTAATTATTCATATCTTGTGCTATTTAAACTAAATCACCTCTTGTTCATAAATTGCTTTTTAATTTATATGTTTTTAATAACTTTTTCTCTTCTCCGCACGAAGTTGAGGCTATAAATATAATGTCAATCACAGTACAAAGTTATTTATTAAGAACTCTTCTTTATGCGATATATGTAGCAATTTATTCAAGAAATATTGAAGTTCCGTTGTCCATTCATTGGTTGTAGATTTTATTTATTTATTTTTGTGATTTCACTCGAAAGTATCAATTCATCAAGGTAAATCTTTGGAATGCATTCATGTTCCAATAAATTGTGATTTGAAATGTAAATAGAAGCGACATGCTATAAAGTGTGATTTGAAATTCGTGTTCCAATTTCAAGATTTTTGCTATAAAGTGTGATTTGAAATGTAAATAGAAGCGACATGCTATAAAGCGACATCCCCTTCACTAGAGGCATCAATAGCCTCAGTAACCACATGATTTTTTCATCCCTCGACTCAGGTAACTTCAAATCATTTTCCACCTTCTTATCTTCACCCCATTCACTTGAAACGTCCATAGCCTCCTCAGCAACCACATGATTTTTTTCGTCCCTCGACTCATGTAACTTCAAATCATTTTCCACCTTCTTATCTTCACCCTCTTCACTTGAAACGTCCATAGCCTTCTCAGCAACCACATGATTTTTTTCTTCCCTCGACTCAGGTAACTTCAAATCACTTTCCACCTTCTTATCTTCACCCCCTTCACCTGTAACGTCCATAGCCTCGATAACCACATGATGTTTTTCATTCCTCGACTCAGGTAAATTCAAATCACTTTCCACTTTCCTATCTTCACCACCTTCACTCGAAATGTCCATAGCTTCAGTAACCACGTGATTTTTTTCATCTCTCGACTCAGGTAACTTCAAATCACTTTCCACCTTCTTATCTTCACCTCCTTCACTCGAGACATCCATAGCCTCGGTAACCACGTGATTTTTTTCATCCCTCGACTCAGGTAACCTCGAATCACTTTTCACCTTCTTATCTTCACCCCCTTCACACACAACGTCCATATCTTTGGTAACCACGTGATTTTTTTCATCCCTCGACTCGGGTAACTTCAAATCACTTTCCACTTTCTTATCTCCACCTCCTTCACTCGAAACGTTCATATCCTCAGTAACCACATGATTTTTTTCATTCCTCGACTCAGGTAACTTCAAATCACTTTCAACCTTCTTATCTTCAGCCCCTTCACTCAAAACGTCCATAGCCTCAGCAACCACGTGATTTTTTTTCATCCCTCGACTCGGGTAAACTCAAATCACTTTTCACCTTCTTATCTTCACCCCCTTCACTCGAAACATCAATAGCCTCAGTAACCACATGATTTTTTTTCATCCCTCGACTCAGGTAACTTCAAATCACTTTCCACCTTTTTATCTCCACCTCCTTCACTTGAAACTTCTATAGCCTCAGTAACAACATGATTTTTTTCATCCCTCGAATCATTTAACCTCGAATCACTTTTTGCCTTCAATTCTCCAACCCCATCACTCGAAACATCCATAGCCACAGTAACAACTTCATTTTCGCCCATCTTATTTTCACCCGTAAGTACACCACTATGTCCATCCTCTGACTCCAGAGACACCATTTCAATTTCCCCCATCTTATTTTCGCCCGCAACAACTGAATTCTTTTCATCACCTGATCCACTTTTCACTGCCTCTCTTTCACCCCCTTCACCAGAAACATCCTTAGCCTCGAGAATATCTGCCGACTTAGGTTCAATTTCAAGATCACCCTCTTTGTTCCCACCGACCCCATCAACAAACACATCGGAACCCACAATCTCAACCATTATTTCCTCATCCTCATTTCCCTCTTCGTAATTAGCCTCCTCCACCAGATTCTCGCTGCCCATTTTCTCAACCAGGGCCTCACTCTGTAAATTCTCACTCATGGGAGATTGCGAGACCTCACTACCATTACCTTGACCCAGCCCATCTTCCATAATCAGGATTTCTGGATCAAGATTTCAGAATTAATCGAAGAAAAAATGGGAGAACTAAACTCAGACGAAGTGAAGATGAAACCCTAATAGGAATCGAAACATTTAGCAGGCTTAATTATGGTTAAAGGGGAAAAAACACTTCTTTTTTTGTGAGCAAAAAAACTAAAACCGTAAGAAAAAGCACCTGAATTGGAGTTGTCTGGAATGGTAGAAGCGGGATTCTTTGAGGGTTTTAGAGAGAGAGAGATAGAGGGAATGAAGTAAGCACTGTTGAGTTAGAGATGTCTAAAGAGTAAAGTACAAAATATAAGAAATATTGGCAGAGAAATAGAGTCAGCGTCCTATCTTCACTTGTTGAGTTTCTGTAAATGAGCTACCACAACATAGCTGTCATACGTTGAGTGGTCATTTTAAAAAAGGCATTTTTTTTTAAACGTCCAAATTTCATGTTGTAAATATTTTTAACCGGAGTAGAATCCAAAGATTCGACACCGGGTCGTATCACGAAGAAGGTTAGCCGGATTATTCTATGCGAATATTCAATCACACGAAATAATGAAAAAGTCCTAAACACTCTAATTCGATTGATTTGGTTTAATATTATCAACTAGGAATTGAAAAGAAAGTAATAGGAAAAACTAGGCAAAACAAAGAATCACAAGTTCGAACTCAAATAATTATAAATGAGCTAGGGTATCGGGGTCAATCAATTCCGGTTCTCAATGAACTCAACGAGCAATCAAAAGCTCGGTTAAAGGCCTCACAAAACTATTCATCCAGAGATCTATCCTCAATA